TGGCCTCGAACTCACAGAGATCCGCCTGCCTCTGCCTCCCGAGTGCTGGGATTAAAGGCGTGCGCCACCACCGCCCGGCAGGACTCTCTGTTTTAAAGGTTAAAATCCAATAGAATATTAAATATGGCTAGAAAGTAGTCTCAAAATAAATTGATGTAAATGAGTCTACTGATGGTGTCTAAACTTGAAAAATGACATTATAAACACATAGTTATGTTCTAATCATACACTTTTGTCATATTAAATATTACCATCCGATCCATATTTAAAATATAAAATGGCAACTGGTCTACGTTTATATTGCATTGAATTTTGCTTCTATTTAAGGTTTCAAAGTGCAATGTGAGATTTTTGCATATGTATGTGTGCACATGTCTGCATTGATACTGCCATTTGCAAACTAATGTGTATTTTAGGCAGTTTTAAAAAATAATAATTATCCAGAGAAACTTACATCTGCACAACAATCATTTGGAACTCTTGAGATGCATCCCACACAGATGAGACAGGGCACCTGTGCCTCGGTTTGGATAATTTGTTTGGAAAATACATGTGTGTGCTAGACTTAGGTATGCCCCTGGCCCTCTTCTCTTTTTATTTTCAGATACAGTCTTACTGAGTCAAGTTCACTCTGTAGCCAGGCCGACTTTGAATTTGTCCTCCATGATGACCGTGATAGTGGCTGAGACCACAAACTGGCTGTCACCAGGCCCTGCTTTAGTACTGTGGGGGGAGGGAATGAGAGGAGACGAGAGAGGGGAAACGGTGGCTAGGATGTAAAATAAATGAATAAATGTGATTAAAAAATAAAATTAAGCCGGGCGGTGGTGGCGCACGCCTTTAATCCCAGCACTCGGGAGGCAGAGGCAGGGGGATCTCTGTGAGTTCGAGGCCAGCCTGGTCTACAGAGCCAGTTCCAGGAAAGGCACAAAGCTACACAGAGAAACCCTGTCTCAAAAAACCAAAATAAACAAACAAACAAATAAATAAATAAATAAAATTAAAAAATTTATGTGACACTGGATGATATAGTTTATTTAGATAGTGTACTTAACTATTAAATCCTCTTCTAATTTCAGCTTGTGTTATGCAGAATAGGTTAGATGAATATTGCCAGCAGACTGACATTCAAAATGGCAAAGTTGCTGTTCCAGATTTACATCACATTATAGATTGCTTCTACTTACAAGTTTCAGAGTTCATTTTCAGATTCAATAAATATCTTCATTATAATCTGGAGAACTGAAAAGTCATTGTTTCCAACTTTTATTAATAAGAAATCATGTAACCATTCAGACCAAAATTGACCCATACCCAAATTGACACACTGTTAGGGGACCTCAAGTGAGTTTCTACACCGGGACTTCAAAACTCACTCAGATTTTTTAAGTTGGCTGGCACCCTTCCTGATTGTACCAGTTGTCCACTGTAACACCCATCCCTTTGGCCCAGTTTGTAGATACCTACTATAAGCAAGCACTTTTCTAGTCACTGGAGAAATAACAGCAAGCAAGACAGGTAGCTTTGCCCTGTTACAGCTTACAGACAGATAGATTAGTGACAGAGGTCAGGAATCCCTAAAGTATATATTTTTTGTTTTTCTATTTCAGTTGTGCTCAGGATTGAACCTAGTATCTGAAGCATATTAGGGATTTCTCTGCCACTAAGCAGAAGCTGGAAACTTTTGTTTTCCATAGCAGAACAGCAGAAAGCTCATGTTTATGAAAGAATACAGACATCATGCCTAAATGTTCCTATAAATCTTCAAAAAAATAAAAAGCCATTTGTTTAAGAACCAGTCCTAAATGTTAACTTCAAAGACATCAATAGAATCTGAATGAAGATTATTTCTGAAGGCAATGGTAAAATCCTTAGTTGCCTCTGGCTCTTCAAACCTTACTCAAAAAATCTTTAGCGCTAGTGGCATGTGTATGAGTTTTTTGCCTACATGTATATTTGTGCACCACATGCAAGCCTGGTGCCCATGGAGGCTAGCAGAGTCATTGGACTCCCCCTGGAAATGGTGTTACAGACAATTGTGAGCCATGTGGGTGCTGGGTATCAAACCCAGGTTATCTGGGAGAGGCACAAATGCCCTTCACCACTGAGCCAGCTCTCCAGGCACATCAGTACATTCTCAGCTTGGACTTTCCATGGTTAATAATCTGTAAATATCTGTCCTTATTTGTTAAAAAATTAAAAACAAAATAAATTGGCTTAGAAAGGAAATTTTAAACTAAAACAAAGATTCACACATACACTGCTGTCACCCCCACCCAGTCTCTCTGTGTGTGTTCTGTGCAGAGACAGGATGGACGAGGTATTGGGGGGAGAGTTTCCTAGCTGTTATAGTCTTAGGATTAACATGAACACTGAATTCTAAGAACAATTAAATATCTCAATTTAAGTCATTGGGTCTTTAAAAGACTGCAGAAGTTGGTGATTTAATCTAGTTCCTGAAGCTAACCAAGTGAGTAACTCCTGATTTTGCTGGAAAACTGCTACACAAATGGCTAACACACACACACACACACACACACACACACACACACACACACACACGTCTTATCGGCACTCAAGATGCTCCTTCGAAATAGAGAAGAGACTTTGGTTCAGACTGGTTTTCACCCGTTTTTCCCGCTGCCTTCGGTTGCAAAACCAAACTCTTACGACTTCTTTCTCGAGATTCAGTTCTTCAGCCATCCGCATGATCTCCTGGGAGGAAGGCTTGTTCTGTTGCCCAAAGTGCCTCTCCAAAGCATCCTTAGCTGCAATACTGGGGTGGAGAGAGTTGGGGGTGGGAGGTGGAGAGAGGATAGAGTTGGGGATGAAATTGTGTGTCTTTCAATGAAGTTTTCGGAAAAATAAAATGAAGCTTATCTTTCTAAATATTACCACAAAGGAATAACTTATAGATTCTAAAAACAAAACAAAAAACTCGTGAAGGACAAATCTGACTTTTTTCCGCAGAGGCATGTCTTAGTCCAGATAACCTTACCCAAAATCAAAGGCAAAAAGTAGAGAACCCAGGTTCTCTCACTGTATGCCACAAGGGGGCACCAGGTTCTTGACAAAGAAAAGGAATTGTGGGCCTTTCAAAAGACAACTGCTCCCTGCCTCCTCATCACGGCCTGGTCATCCCCATCATTTATAATACAGGAAATGTGTAGTCCACAACTGCTGGAGATAAAGCCTTTTGCTAGTTCCTGTTAGTACCTCACAGAAGCGAAAGTATCACTAAATTATACTTCATGGTTGTCATTAAAGGAGTCAGGACAGACCCTAGTCTGACACACTGGTGACTCCTTTTGCTATTGTTAGTTAAGATACTGCATTAGCAGAGCAAGAACTTGTATCTACAAGGACATCTGTGAATTGTTTGCTTCCCATTTTTAGCCAAAATGCCTGTGTCAATACAGCCGATCAAACAATACGTATTTATCCATCAAATGTTGAAAAATTCTAACTTCATTTCTCATCAATTTAAAACATTTTTGTTTCTTCAGTTCCTTCCATTCACCTCATGGGTTATGTTGTTCTTACACTACACTTCCATGTTGACTCCACGTGAACAGTGTGCTTTTCTTTTTCTAGTAAATGTGTTATCTCGACAGAATACCTGATCGTTGTTCTCCGTTTCCGTTTCCTCTCATTTGCTCCCACCTTTTCACTGTACAAAGCTGGAATGTGGGAAAGAGAATAAAAGAGAAAGTCATCTTAGACTAGCACTCTCAGCTTTCAATTTTTCCATATGAAATAATGCAAACTATAATTGCTACCCATTTCTGTCTTAAATATTGGTGAGCTACGCAATTTTAAAGTGCATTCGATTAAAAAAAGGATTAAAACGAAATAAATGTAAATCTCATAAAGATGATTTTTACAAACTCTACGTTCCATTTTTGTTAGAATATTCCTTGTAAATGCTTCCAAGTCTTAATTTCAATGTGTGTGTGTGTGTGTGTGTGTGTGTGTGTGTGTGTGTGTGTATTAAAATACCAAGATTTTTCGATGGTATTTATTTAACAGACTGGTGTGAACACTAATATTGGGTTATAAAAGTAGTTCCTGTAAGTTACTCCAGGATAGCGTAAAGGCCAAGAAATGTGGATGCTAAAGAATATTCAGTACTTGACGCTGATACTTTGTTTTCTAAAAAGCTTCCCCTTGCAGCTCCTGCTGTCCTCAGTAAATTTATTTCTACACTTGTATTACATTGGTTTCCCGCCCTCCTTTATCCACCAAATTTATTTTCCATTTCAAAGAGATTAAAAAGCCCTCAAACCTCCAGCTTCAGCAAACATCCTGCTGCCCCTAGTGGTCATTTTGTGACTACACCACAGCACAGGCTGCACAGGATTGCCCACCCCTGACCCCTGTCACCCCTCCACCCCTGCCATCCCCCCACCCCAACTCCTGTACCTCCAACTTGCTCAGCTTCCTCCAGCCACTTGGATAGTATTGCTTTCAGTTTACATGCATTTTTGAAACTGAGCTGCAGGTTTTCAAATCGGCAGATGGTTGTTTGACTGAATTCAGAGCCATGCACAGCAGCCAAAGCTTCGCCCACGTTTGTCTGGGTGTATCCTGCAGAAGGGTGAGAGGCAGCCTTAGCTTCTGCTTCATGGGGAAGACCAGTGTGACTCCATTAGGACGCACACTGAATCTTAGTGAATTACTCTTTAAAAATTCTGTAGTTTTACAATTTAGAATTATTGAGGTTTAGCATATAATTGTAAAGTACACTAAGATGGTCCTCCAGTTAATAAATCACTTTTTCTCTTAAAGTCAAAAGGACTCACATGTAAAGATAATGGTAGCACGAACAGATACCATGTGCATGTCATAACGCTTGATAATGAACTTAGAAATTCTTGATCTTTTTATCATGATTATCAAATATGATACATGCTCAAAATATTTGACCCATCAATTGTAGAGCACAAAATGTACAGTGATAGATCAAACATATTTTTATGTATGAATAAAACTTACAAGAATATATTGTTACACCAAATAAAACTAAGATTGAGGCTAAAACACTTCATTCAAAAAGGCTGGCTACTGTTCCACATTTTATGCATAACTCCAAACACATTTACTGCATTATTTGGTAAGGCATCTATCGCCCAGCAAAAGGTCCTTATCAATTACCCCAAACATTTCTAGAAAATAAGGTAAAATAAGCCATCAACATATAATTTTAAACATCCAAAGCAATATTAGCAGAACCAAAAATAAGTATGATAATGATGTCTCCTGCTGTTTATTACATGTATTCAGTACATATTATTTCAGGGCCTAGGGCTATATACCTTTATGTATAATATGAGTGCATATGATGTGCATCAATAAATGTCATTACAAATTACCTATGGCTCATTCCACCAGTTCATTTCAACCCATTAAAAAATACATTCTTTTATGAATCTGAGCCACAATTAGTTACTATAGTTATTCAATTCTAAAAACACTTTTCAATAGAAAAAGAGCAGTGGCGTGGAATAGACAGTTCACAGAAAAGAAATACAGATGATTATCAAACAGTAATGAATAACAATAATGTAAAATGAAGTTTAACATGTTAGCTAACACTATACTGTCATGCCCCTTTGTCTTCTCAAAGGTCCCAAAGATAAAGAGCATACTGATCTTTCAACCACTGTTTACTTATTTAATTATCTGGTCATTTGCCTCTGCTGGAGACAGAAGACATATTTGTGATGGTAAAGTTTTGTACAGATGAATCTGACACCTCTCAACCTACATTGTTTAATCAATAATTTAGTTCCAGCATTTTCTGTTCATGTGTTTATATAGATGCAAGAATGCATTTATAGAGTTCTAACTGTGGCATTGTTTTCATTACTAAGAGATTAAAACCATGTAAGAGACCTAGCTAAATAAACTAGTGTATTTATATTCATAAGGAGGGTAGTTAACAGATTCATACATACCCCCAAGTCAACTCTGGAAAAACTCTAAGATCTCCAAAATATGTCTGTATGAAAGAATGTATGCACTTGCTTCTAGGTGTATAAGGTATCTCTAGAAAGATACCCAAGAAACTACCACTGGTGAAGAAGAAAGACAAGCAGATGTTGTAATGCCATTTACACTTTTTCGTCACTCCAAGTCATATGAATGAAGCACCCAAATTTTCAAATAAAATATTAAATAAAGAAGATACTTGAAAGCTACTCTTGAGGTAGGCTAAATTTTAGGAAATAACATGAACTTAAAAAATCCATGCTTTTATCCTATTGAGAATTTACAAGGAGTTAAAGAATTTTGATGTGTTTTAGTTTTCCCAATTTGACTAAGTTAAGTGTACAGGAGAGACAGAGAATGGGAAGTGTCTTTGGCTTTCAAGCAGAGTATAAAATATTTCCCAGTAAATAGAGTAAGGATTTGAGAATTAAGTTGCTGGACCCATCACAGTAATCAAAGGCATACCTAACTTGATTCTTCTCACTTTAAATTCATTGGCAAATTGCTCAAGTTCTCGGATTTCTGGGGAATCCATGTCTATTGGCTCTTCAACCAATTTACTTTTCCGCCTGAGTTCCTGCTTGAATTCAGAGGCTGTAGGGTCCTCCGCCAGGAGAGGCTGGTGCAGGGGAGTAAACCCATGACTCAAGGTGTGATCTGGAAACTTGTAAAGACAAGGGGTTAAACTGCCTGTGGAGAAAGAGAGAGGAAAGGACTGTTGGTAATGATGTCTGTTTCTCTACAAACATCACTTTGTTAGAACCCACTGTTTTCCACAAAAACTCCCAATTGGTTTTCAGTGCAGGACTTTGTAGTACAGCCAAGGATGCCCCTGAGCTTACACAATCCTGCCACCTTGGCCTCCCAAATGCTCGGATTATGTGTAATGCCACATTGACTCAGTCTTAACTTTTACACCTTCCCATATGTTCAGTGTGCTAAAGCAGGACCCAGAGTGAGCTGTTAGTTGGTATGAGGTGATTCACCTCCCACCTTCCCCAGAAGAACAAAACCAAAGTCAATGTCAAAGGACCAAGAGACAAGTTTAAATATCTACATTATTTTCTAGTTCTCTCTCAGGGTGTAAGATTCCATTGTTCCTTGTAAAAAGACATGTATTCCTGAGAGTCTGAGGCTTGATTCTAACCAGATTGTATGCAGTAATCTCTGTCTTCTTAATTAATTTAAAAAGTGGCCTGTAGAGTTTGCTATAACCAAAGTGTGAAGTATTTGGACTCTATGCTATACTGAGAAATTCTTGTAATTAGGAAATGAAGCTTACGGCACTATAAAAACTACTGTTTTGATGGTAAATGCTTAACTTTCATTAAAAAGTAAGCATGTCTTTTAAATTTGATAAAGACAGATAAAACTTAGATTAAAACACATAAATGTAGTTAAGTTGATTTAATGAGCCAGAGAAACAAAAGGTAAGTTTAGAGCTTCTATGAAAGTATGGTGAGAAGCTTTCTTGAAACTAGGGTCAGAGACAGTTGTAAACCACCATGTAGGTGCTGGGAACCACACTTCTGTCCTTTGCAAGAACAGCAAATGCTATTAACCACCGAGCCATCTCTTCAACCCAAGAGAGAAACTATTTGGTTTTGGTTTTGTTTTTTTCAATGCATGCTGCTTTTATGAATTATCCAGTCTCTGTGTAAAGAAAACAGTAACTCCCTTTCAGATTAGTAGCTGTCCTAACTACGCAGAGGTCACAAGAACCACATTCCACTAAGAAAAAAAAATGCTACTTTATTTTCCAGTCTGTACTCGGGTAAATCAAACAACTTTCTTTCAAAGTTTCCCTGAATCTAAACACATTTGGTTGCCTCTACACAATCTCTTTCAGGCAAAACTGTAATGATTTAAAAAGTACATTAGCAGTGTGTCACTCCAGGCAAATTCAAGGGTTGTTTCCTTATTACAAACACTCACAGAAAGAATACATCTAGAAAAGGTATTTGAATGGAGTCCATGAAAAATGAGCAAGAAATGGTTTAGTAACCACAGTGAGAGTGAGATTGAGATATGTGGTATAACACAGAACATGTTTCTTATTGTGTAATGAAAAATATTACATAAAGTTTCCACAATTATATCCATTGGATCATCATTTTGATAGAACTTGCCTTCCTTAACAATTCACTCTAGCAGTAACCATCACAATCAGACAGAATTCTGCTCCTAGCCTATGACTCACTCTGTGGAGCATGGGGAGTGGTGGTATGGTATGCGTAGCAAGCTATTTTTCAAAACCTTTCAATCCCAGATTATTGAAGTACACAGTGAGCCCAGGCAGCAGAAATCTCAAAAATGTTTCTCAAAACTTTGGTAAAGCAATACTGTTGTTAGCCTGGACAAGGACCCCTGTGAAAGCTTGGAAATGCTGGAGCCCTCTCCACGCTCAGTTTTTCACAGTGCACACTGATCCATCTTGGCCCCTCTGAATTGTTCTGTGTGTCTTTCTGCTTGGTAGACATGGCAGAAGACAGATAAATCTTTCAAAGCAGGCAAGGTGGGACAGAAGTAGAGATTGCCTTGTAAGCTGTTGACTCAGCCTTTCATGTGTTGGGGTAAATTGCTCCCCTGTATGTGGCTACCTGTGAGCATCTCAGGTTAAAAACCTGTGGCCTTAAAAGAACAAATAAGGGAAACAGAAAGACATGGGAATCCATGCCTACATCGTAACTGTGCACAGGAACGCTGAAATATTTCTACTTATTCTTTCCTTTTCACAAACACAGGACAAGAGTATCATATGCTCAAATTTGATTTTTTCCCTTTCTTTGAGGACTCAACAGACTGTCTGAGCCAGACATGGGTTCATTGTTTGACAAAATAAGTCTAATTGGAACACACCCATGTCCATGTTTCCACACAGCCCGGAACTGCTCTCCAAGAACAGAGAAGGTAGCTGAAGCAGAGGAAGTTCAGGGTATCTTCACTCCAGCTCCTTACAGAAGACGGCTGTGAACCATCTAGAAGGCAAAGGTACCATGGTCCTGCTGGGAGGCCTTTACTGGGGAAAAGCCCGATGTCTTCAGAGTGATTCTTCCCTAGACAACCCTACCAACCTGGGACAAAAGAAAAGGAAAACAGGAAGGGTGACCCAGAAGAGAGAAAGAGGAAGGGAGGGAGGAAGGAAGAAAAAACAAAAGGCAAGAAGTTAAAGGGAAAAACAAAAGGAATGAATGAAGGGATTTCTATGGCTTTGTTTCATTCCCAAACAGAAACCCTTTTCTTTTCCATTCTGCGTAACATGTACTTTTTCAATAAGAACTCTCCCTCCACCTCGAGGATTAGCTGCTATATCCCATGCCCAGATGGGTCCTTGTTCTTTGCCACGAGGCTGGTGGGCTGAGTTACCATGGGATGGTGGACAGAACAGCCTCCACACTTGCCTCCTAAACTTCACTCTGCTTTAGAAGCTGAGAAGCCAAGCAGCCCAAGAGACTCAGGAGCCCGAGTGCTGAGCATTCTTTGCCGGCAGTGTGCTCGCCTCCGGATCTTCTAGCAGAGGTTGTGAAGAACATTTGTAATTCCCTCGTGCGGTTTGGACTGTGGACTGCTGACGTTAGAGCTAAATACTAAGGGGTAGACAGGAAGATGTAAATGACCACATGTCTATACGAGGAGAGCAAAGAGAAGAATGTCGAGTTATCACAAACCTGCTTTCTACAGGGACCTGGTAGAGAGGTCTCATTAGTTCATGGTGACGCTTTTTGCTGTTTCCAGCCCAGCCAATCATTCTCTTTAGCTTGCTGGTGCCTGGACTGTTACAGGGAATTCATCTAAGGATTTAAATCCTCCTCACCAACCTGACAAAAATCACTATATCTCTTCCGTTCCTGTGAACTAATTTAACAAAATACTAAAATGAAATAATCAGAGTTTGGGCAGTATAATAGCCGTATTAAAATTCTCCACACCCTTTGAAAACAGTTATTCTAGCAGCGGTCCCCTCACAGATTAAACACACCAAACCTGCCCATAAAGATGCTTCGGTGGACCTTGAGGGAGTGGCTGACATTTCAGAAAATTCAAACGACACGATTGGGTTTCTACCGTCGTCTGTTTTATACCTTGCCTTCCTCATTTTTGAATGGCGGTATTTTATGACTCAATTTGTGCAGCTTCCCTGGGAATGAATGTAGGAAAATTCAGATTGTGTAAGATTTAATCTGCAATGAAGTGCATGCTGATGCTGAATACATGCCAAGAACCAGGCGTTCTGACAAATTATGAAGTATATAATATTTTAATGACATCTCTCTCTCAGAAATATTCAAATACAGTCTCTGTGCACCATGGTGAGGCTTCATTTTAGTGACAAAATATAATTCAATTTGAAGGCTACAATGATACCTCTAAATCTTGGTATGACAATTGGGTTCATGATGTCACTAAACCAGACTTTGGGGATGGTGAAAGTCATTTTCACAGGCCCTTTCCTGTGACTATGTTGAGATAGAAAAAAGAAGAAGAAGAAGCAAAAGAAAGAAAGGAAAAAAAAAACAACGGAATGGGAGAGAGGGTGTTCAGAGAGCAGTCAACTGCCTCTCGACGGGACCCTGGCCTGCTGCCCCAGTGCGAGTGCAGGCTACATTATCGGACTCCAAGGCTAGCAATAAACTGTCTAGATAACTGTGGGCCACTTTCTTCAGTACAAGGGAGGTGGTGCCCAAAGGAATTAGGACAAGAGCTAATTAGCCACTGGTCTGTGACTGGTGTGTGAGTGTGTGTGTGTGTGTGTGTGTGTGTGTGTGTGTGTGTGTGTGTGTAAGTGTATACATGTATGTGAATGTGTGAATGTGAATGTGTGTATATGTTGGTTGGTTTGGTTTTCACACTAACTCAAGTCAAAGGGCACAAGCCTCCTCTTTTTGAGGAGATACAGGAACTGAGGTTGCACAGGGATTCCTGGAAATCACTGTGACAGAGCTTTCCTCCAGCAGAGAGCAGCATGTGACCACAGGCTTGTCGCTTTCTGTTTAGCTCCTCCAGGTCCCGTGAAAGCCAAAGAAAGCGTTCTACCTCCACTCCGACAGATAATTGAGCATATTCTGCTATTCCACAGCAAATATCGTGGAATTCGGGGGAAGCTGTTCTTGTTGCTTACGAATACTGATTAAGTAGATGGTTTATGAGTGAAGGATTTTTACAAGGGATGGAAAAAGCACTCAGGTTAGATACCCCTTAATTATTGAAAAGTAAAACCAGGTTAGAGAGACAGCTCTGGGGTTAAGAGCACTGGCTGCTTTTCTAGAGAGCCTGCATTTGATTCCCAGCTCCCTCATGGTGGCTTACAACTGTTTATAATTCCAGTCCCAGGGGATCCGATAGCCTTTTATGGCTTCTGTGAACAATGCATGAAAATGATATACAGACATACATGCAAACAAAGTGCCCATACAAATAATAAAAATAATATCTTTTTAAAGAAAGAAAAACCAAGGTTTATAGGCAATCATTAAGAACACAACTCTTTGAAGTAAGCAGATAGGGAGGTGAAGGGGAGCTTAGAAGGGGGAAAACGATTAAAATTTATTGTATGAAAACAAATTAAATAAAATATTTAAAAAATCAGACTCCATTTTACCATAATGGTTAAGATGTGGATTTATACAGAAAGGCTAATATCCTCATTGTTTTATTTGAAAATAAATAATCTTAATGTTTTACTGAGAAATTACAGATTAATGAACTAAATTACTTGTTTCATTTCACTTAAATATTCTCAGCATATCTCTGGGTTTCTCCATATATAATTGCTTACTTGGAGGAAAACCATGAGTAAATTTCAAAAGACTTCCTTCATATTTGATTCCTTTATCCCAAATTTCCACTGTCTCTCTGTCTCTGTTTCTCCTCCCCACTCCTTTTACTGCTAGTTCTTGTTCTTTCCCCCGGATGAGCGTTGTTTGCCTGCTGTAATAACAAATATTGACTTACCAAAGATTTCCCTTCAGAACAAACTCACAAATAAAAATCTGTGAACAACGATCCACAGTCTTTAAACCGACTAAATTATTTTCTTTAGTCATGCCCCCAAATTAAATAGTGAATTTGGTGGTGAGTGGACCTCTTAGGGCATGTGTTCTCATTTCTAGGAAGCCAAGCTTTCAATGTACTTATGCCGATACCAGAGAGTTGGCATTATACTTGAAAGAAGGATGCTTCACGTCTCCCAAAAAGTGTGCCACTTCACCTATCTCAGTCAAGCTTCAGAAGCAACCTAGGAAGGACCACCACAGCCTGAAATAGCCATGACTAAAGTCCCGGAACATCAGGCTGAGTCTTCAGTTTGTATCTCCTATTTATTTTTACGGAACAAGTATACAAAAGCAGAGCTGTGATGAAGGCGATGCTCCATAAATCGTGGTGTCTGATGGAGTAGCCACTAGACAAACGAGAGTACTGGCCACTGGAAATGGAGCTGACTTAGCAGAGGAACTGAATTTTCAATTCTTGTTTTAATTAACTTTCATTTAAATTGAAGTAACCACATGGGTTCTACTTGCCAGTACCGCATAGCTTCAGGGAATCCCACAGAGGCAATCACAAGTAGCATCTAGCAGTTTGGCAGTAGTAAATTAAAGAAGCAAACAAATGATAGCAAAACCGTACAAAGCTCATGCAAGAGACAGAAACACTGGAGTATAGAGTTGTGGAGGGTAAGGCCATGAGGCCCACCTCTAGGTTTCTGGTCAAGGGACACTTCTGCAAGTGACAGATCTACCATTAACTTCCAAGCCAAAAGAGGGAAGATCAGAACTTCATGTTATACTCTTTCACCATTCCCTCTGGTTTAGGAAATCCAACACCGTTTTCCCCAATTCAACACCACATATGAAGATATTTTTTTCTTACCTGCCATCACTCCATAGGTGGATGGCTGATTTCCATAATGACAGGAAGGCACAGAATAATGAAGTCCTGTCGCTGCGTTTCCCATAGTTGTCATCGAGAAATACGTGTGCAAACATTTAGGAGTTTGGATCAAAGACAAAATAGACGGGACTGGTAAGAAAATGTATGAGGATTGAAGACACATTCAACTCATTTCAAAAATTACACATTTATGCAAGTCTTAAATTATATGCCAATATGTATTTTCTTCCTCACTGGTAGTTTTCTAATGAGCAGATAAAATCAGCCAAAGGTTGTCTCAAGTGATGAGATCTGATGTCATCGAACTAGACTTGTATGGGTCTATGTTGTGGCTACAAGTATCCCATGAAGTGAAGTAAGAGGAGATTGGACCCCAGCTTTTTGAGATTTGTACAATTCTTGTAGCTTCCATCCAGTGTAGATATTGCATTACAGCCATTGAAAAGTAGTCTGAACATCATTGTGTAGCACAGTATTGTAAGAAAGGTGTCTCTGGAAGAGTGAATACCTAAATAGACTCTTGAATAATCATAGCTGATAAATTTACTGTTCCTTTTACTAAAGAGAAAATGCCAGAGTAAGTATTCCCTTGTGTAGATGCAATCATAAAAATACTGCTGTTTTCAGGGTTTTATGAGAACCCTGTGATAGCGTTTAGTCCAATTATGTTGGACTTGCAGTTTTTCCTCATGCATGACATCGATAGAAAAATTTTAATGATAAAGCCAATCAAAAAATAAGTTTCTTTATTGCTGAAGGTTGTGCATACACACATAATTCTATGCATACATGTATACTTCCTAAAATTATTGTGCATTTAGAAATAAGATATAAACTATAAAACATATATGAAGTTTTAAACACAAATCAACATTTTAACAGCAGGACTTTCAATAATAAAACTAGCAGTAAAAGTTTCCTTATGTATTTACTTCCTCATTTTTCTCTCATATCCTAAATATAATTTATAATATAATATATTATGATAATGCAATAATTAGGTCATTATAATAAACATACAATTTTTTCAGATAAATAGTATATAGAGTATATAATTGGGAGTACATGATATAATAATGACATGAGATCTTTTTATAGAATAAATGTATTTTGTCTAAATATAGAACAATATTGTAAATATCTGTATAAGTTTCTACTCTGTGACTGATATAGAGAGACATGAAGTAATTTTCCCATACAATGGTCATATAGAACAATTTTAGTATTCATTTAAAAACATTAAATGAATTTTAACTGTATTTAATGCTTAAGGGCTTTCATTAAAATATATATTTGTAATTCCTTACTTAACTAGATGCATATATAACTAAAATTTTATAGAAAAATTATAAATAATTTAAAAATAATTAAGGAAACTTTTAGAAATTATTTTTATTTATAAGAGTTATATTTGTTTTCTGATTTTAGGAAGTTGGATAAAAGATAGGTTAAATGCTCTGTTATATATTTTTAAATAAATCAATAGAACTTAAAAGCTACATCATTTTGCTACATCATTATTTTAATCTTAAATTTTACTTTCTTACTGATCAAATTTATCTAATTCTCAATCTATAAAATGTGCTGTTTTAAAAGTATGGTTGTATTGTAATCCTTTAGATTATTTTGGGTACTATTTATGGGATTATTATAGGGTTAAATTACTTTATTATTATATTTTCCATCAAATATATTTCAGTACATTCTCAAAATTACCTTTAAATTAAACTATGGGAATCTTTAGTAGATTAAGTCATGTTGGTAGAGTCCATATATCTAATCTCTTCATTATTTAAAATCAGGCAAAGATGAATGAGAAAGCTTAACTTATGTTTAGAAACTGCCTAATTATCATAAAAGTTATTTAATTGTTTTAAATCATAAAATAAGCCCAAACTTTTCTTTCTACAAATATAAATTTTGTTTCATTTCTCCATGTGAGTCAATTACATTTTAAACAAATGAAAGATGAATCCAGATTGCTGTTTCATGGAAGAAATTGTTAGTCCAAGGCTCCATCCATCTGTAAACTGACTTTGAGACCAATTGTTATTACATTAAGTGCAAATATATTAGCAAAGAACATACATTTGCTTGTGCCTAGATAACATGTTTTGATCCCCATTTTCATTTAGGAATGTTAAGTAAAGACAAATTTTAAGTTATTTCTAAAACTCAGTCTTAAGGAAGTTTAAATCTCTCAACTCTAAATGCTATCTTGCTTTCTTTTCTAAGTTTAATACTATGTATTTTAATGCAAGTTTAATAAAGCATTTAATTACTTTATTCATTAAAGCTCACTTTCATGAATGGTTTGTGTTGGGAATTTTTTGGTTTATTTTTATAAGGTTTATGTTTGTTTAAAGGTAGTAACAAATATAATTCAAAAATGAAATACATTTTTAATATAAAGTAGTAGTACCTATTAACATTAACTATTTCAGAATATTTCATTTTGATCTTTATACATAAACATCCATAAACATCTCTACTAAAATAGTTTTCACAATGAAAAATACTCAAGCTCGCTATTTGCTTATGTAGAAAATAGTTCGGGATTGCAAAGCAAAAGCCAATAAATAGATAAATGATTTCATTTACTATTTTTTTTTTTAATTCTCAGACAACTGGACTTTTATAATATCCTTAATATTTAACTACAGCAAATTAAAGGAGGGAAATGGAACAAAGAGATTATTCAACTGAAAAGATTCACCGCATCCAATCTGAAAGCTGTAGGCCCGGCCATGGAAGTCAGTACCTGTCGACATCACGTTGGTGGCATGGTTGGAGACTGGGAGACACTCAGCAGCACTGGGGTGCATTATCAGAGGCAGCGCTGCAGAGGCATCAGCACTCAGAGGTACAAAGGTATCAGCCGAAGTAAAAGATTGGCAACTCATTCCCACGAGAGAGTAGAAAATAAGACCCGCTGCTTGCCAGATCACTTTTATTATATTACCGTATCATCAAAGGGCCGATTCACTTCTCGCTACCTGCATATATACATCAGGAAGGCTCTGAGGCACCAGGAGGGTGCAGGCTAGTATTTATACTGTGAGGAAATCCATTTATACATGTTAATAGTCCCCCCCCCCCAGGAGTGTTGCTTTGTCAACTCAAACTGTCTTTCTAACCCAAATATTATCTGTGCCCAAGGAGGAACCTGGTTGTGGGGTACAAATTGAGGGGAAGGCAAACACAGAAACTTTATTTGGCATCTTTAATAAATGAGACCTTTGGGGAAGAATCAGGAACTTTGAAAAATTGTTTCTCAAAGTAATATAAGTGACAATGAATTGAAAACTAGGTGTCTTTTGGTTTCTAATATAATAAAAGTTTTAAATATGAGATGTTTTCCTTTTTGCTAACTTCTTAAATTACATTCAATGTAGTATTAAACTGAGGAAATGTATACTATATAGTTTAAAGAAATGGAGCATTTAAGGGCTTGGGAGATGGCTCAGTGGTCAAGGTACTGGCCACACAAGCCTGATGACATGAGTTGTGTACCCAGAACCAGTTGAAAGGTGAGAGAAGACAACTGACTCCACAAACTGTCCTCTGCCCTCCACCTGAATGCCATGGCATATGAGCCCACACATATACATCATGAAAACACACACACTAATAGAAATGATTGTTAAAGAAATGAAATGTTTAAGTTGACACTTAGGACAGCATGTGAGATGGAATATGACAATGCATGTGCTGGTGAGTTTAAATTCAACAGTGCATGTTTTTGAAAAAAAAAAAGAGAGAGAACTATTCAAAGTTTTCCTGTAAGTACACAGTGGGAAGATTTTAATATACATAATAATGTGCAGGGAAGACAAGCGGGAGGGAACACCGTATTTCCCTTGATTTCAATGTACTCATTAAGAACTAACAGTTCTTCCTAAGTACTGACAGAATTCAATGGCATTTTTCTACAGTTATATCAAATAGACCTTCTTCTCCATACGTGATGTACCATCCCCCCCCCCCCAATAAGCTACTCAGAGCCACAGGCTAAAATTTGGACTATTCTACTAAAGACGCTGAGGTAACCATGTTAGTACTGGATAAACTTCACACAAGATAAATTGACATATTATAAGAAGGAAACACATGCACAATCAATTCCAACATAAACATCAGCCTCAAGATATTTTAATTCTGATGATGTCTGTATATGAATGGTATGTTGGATTTTTAGTCACTGTGGCATACACCTGAAGGGAACACTTTTTATAAAGAACGTCTACTCAGAGGTTTCAGTCCATGGTCAGGCTGGCTCTGTTGCTTGGACAGAATTTAAGCAGAATGCTGCTGGGGTCAGAGCATGTGCTGGAGCATGGTGCACACTAACTGAAAAAGATAAGGGAGGGACAAATATGAAAGGCCAGGCTATAAGGAGCTGTTCAAAGGCACACCTCAAAAGGCCTACTTCCTCCAACCAACTTCCTAAAATTTCCATCAACTCCAAAAACAATGCCCTAGTTAAGAACCCAGCCTATGGGGCCATTTTATATCCAGACCACAGCAATGAGTGAACTCACTCCTGTTGAGAGAATGTAAACAAGAGTAATATAGAAAACAGAAGTAAAAGCAGGTATTTGACAGTACTAAAATGAGGGCCACACTTCCTCAGTATCTGAATTCTTTTGCTATGGTGTGTTTTGAAATAACTTAGAATTGGTTGCCTTATGCTAAACTTATTAATATTGACAACACTACAACTTCAAGAATCATGGACATGTTGGCAGTAATGAGTAGATATCTTGATCAAAAATGTATTAAAGTGCCTAAATATTAGATATTGCCTGAAAAATACTGGTTTTAAAAATGTCATATTTCTCAGTCTGGATTGAAAGCACAGCTAGTCTTCTCTAGTTGGAGAAAGCTTTTGGTAATCAAAATAATTTCTTATAATCTTTCAGAATTTGGATAATATTCGTTCTTTCCAGATGTGAAAAAGGCAAGGATGGATGGTTGAATGGGCTTATAGGGCAACTACACTGAGGAAATTTAAAATGATTTTTCAGAGGAAATGATGCATCTAAAAGATTATACTAAGTGATAATATAGTTTTCAGGGTTTTTAAAAATGAATCTTAATCAGTTAAATATCATTGTACAACTGAGAATCGCCTTACATTCTCAATGGTATTACAAAGTATGAATACTTATGCTGCGTGGATATGGTCAGACCATAGAATTTGAGATATTTAAGTCTCATTTTAAGTGGCTAACATTGGGTGTCTTCCTCAGTTTCTCTTCACATTATTTTTCAAGACAGGGTCTCTCACTGAAGAGAGACCTGGAGTTCAGGGATTGGCTACAATGGCTAGTCAGCAAGCTGCTGAGATCCTCATGTCTCTGTCCCCATTTCTTAGTTCTGGAAGTACAAGGGTATGTTGTCATTCCTGGCTTTTATCACTGAGTCATTTCCTCAGAATCAAAATTGACTTTTATAGAGATGCTAAATTTTACCATTTTTTTATAGTTTTCCCTTTACATTGTTTTCTGTTTTTCACTTTAGTAAACAATAATGCAATCAACATGTTTTCTCAAAATGTTTTTTTCCCTGTTAGACTTTTAGAATGTCCAAAGGTAATACAGATTTCTAAGAAGTAGGATTATTGCATTTAAGTTTATGAACACTTAATGTTTTAAAAAGTTAGCAAAAAAATTAAATAATGACATAATTGTGTTTCAAATATCATGAAGAGATCAATTTACAAAGGAAGTTAGGGCACGTGGAAAGCTTTAAAAAGAAATAGAAAGCCATTGGCATCTCTCAGAATCTCCTATCTATTTTTCTTTGCCTCTTGGTGCGGCTTTACTCAACAGAATAGCCTAGGTTGATTAGCTGTCCTACGGCTTATGTTTTTAACTAGGCAAAGGGAACCCCTACCAGCTTATGAGTTTACATTTCTGAGAGTTTTCTTTCTCACCAGTCCTATTGGTTAGATAAGAAACACATTCGTGGCTCAGAAAGAACTACCTTTGTAGATGGATGAATTTGCTTAGGAAATATGCAGGCATTTAGTCAATGAAAGGTACACCAGCATCTAGAAAAATAGCTCTAAAATATGGCTAATGCAGAAATACCATCTGCTCCACAAACCTTTAGTGTACAACTGAGAATCACCTTGCATTCTCAATGCTATTACAAAGTAGGAATACTTATGCTGGATGGATCTGGTGAGACCAGAGAATTTGAGATCTTTAATTCACATTTTGAGTGGCTAACACACTATCTTTTGGGATTTATAGTAGCTATTTATATCTATGATTTTGTTAGCTGATTCTGTTTTAGATTTTTAAATTCAACACTTTTTGGCATTATTTTCCACTCACATTTGCTTTTTAATTTTGTGTATCAAACTTAGAGCCTTATACGTGCTAACCAACTGATCTACCATAGAGATGCAACCTTAATCTTATTAAAACTGGAAATTTCCTTTGCTCTTGAAAACTTTTTCCAATCAAGGCATCTTCTATTTTATTATTTGTCTTTTGAACTTATGCCAGATATCATTATAAATAATAGTTTAGAATTAAATATATTTATTTCTTCTTTTGTGAATTTCTTAATAATTCAGCATTTTAATTTTATCTGTTATTCAAAAGGTTTTGTTGTTATTTAAGAGTCTGAAAGAAGTTCTACTTGGGTATTTAAGTGGTGGTTCAGTGGTTAAGAGTATATTCTACCCTCAGACTACTAGGTTCATTTCCTAGCTCATCACTGTGTGTAACTCCAGTTCCAAGGAATCCAACGTACCCTCTATTGGCAATGTCAGGCAACAGGAAAGCACATGATACACATACATACAGACAGACATACAAGTACTCATATATAATATAAAAGTAAATATACACATAAATATTTTACATTCCTTTCCCAAGTCTGACATTGTGGTCTCCACCTGTAATCAGAACATTTGGAGCAAGACACAGGAGGAGCAGGAGTCTCAGGCCAACCTAAGGTACTTGTTAAGACCTTGTCTAAGAAAATAAAGAAAATAAAAAATTCCTCTTGACATTTAACACTAACACATTGTGTTTGAGTGCTCATTTTTGCTTTAATTATAGTTTGAGAGCTCATTTTTAATACTTAAATAATAACAAAAATGCTGTGGATATTGCTCTATATAAATAAAACACTGATGGCTAGTGACCAGACAGGAAGTAGGTTGCCAGGCAGAAAGTAGGTGGGACAAGGAGAGAGGAGAATTCTGGGAAGCAGAAGGCTGAGGAGGGAGACACTGCAGCCACCGCCAGGACAAGCAGCATGTAAAGACTCTGGTAAGCCACCAGCCACGTGGCAAGGTATAGATTTATAAAAATGGGTTAATTTAAGATAAAAGAACAGTTAGCAAGCAGCCTGCCATGGCCATACAGTTTATAAGTGATATAAGCATCTGGGTGATTATTTTATAAGTGGATTGTGGGACTGCGGGGCTTGGGGAACCTGGAGAGAAGCCCTCCAGCAACAAATGGCGCCCAACGGCTCGAGTTTCCACCTTAAACCTGAGAATATTTAATAACCAATTCTAAACAGAGCCAAAAACAGGTTCCTGCTTCTTGTCTCATACTGGCAGCTAGAGGCCGCAAAATGCAGGTTTCAACACTGGCGGGTTCCTGGTGTGCCTTTGACCGGCAGTATGGTGGGAATGAGGCGTCTGCCAGCAGCACATTAAGCTATGTGGTAGATTTAGTCTTTACTAGTATTTTAAAAAAAAAGAGGTTTCTGGGCTACACGCTGCTTTGATAAAAGCTTAGACCCACTATTTCTGAGACTTGATGACTCCCAGAGCTGGCGGAAAACGTACCACTGCCATGTTGGGAAGCTGAAGTGGGCGGAGCCAGCAGCCACAGCACCTTTTCAGTCTTAGAATGGTGCAGTTTAAAGCAATAGGCTCAAGGTAATATAAAAAATAAGCCACATAAAGATGGCTACGTGGATTGTGGGACTGCGGGGCTTGGGGAACCTGGAGAGAAGCCCTCCAGCAACACAA